GCCCACGGCGATCAGCTACAACAGCGCTGTGGACACCTTGCCAGGCTGGGCCTCGCAAAACGCGAGTCTGGCCACGCTGTGGGTTCAACTCCTTCGGACCCAACTGGCCCAATGAATCTCTTCCAACTCAACTTCTTCTTTTTTTGGGAGGGGGGGAGGGAAAAGGTCTGCTGGGACATGCCTGTGCCAAATTCCAACACATTCTTAACTAGCTGGCCCGTATCAAGAATCAAGTTCCGCAGCACTTGGCTCGCAGCGAACCCGCCACAACCGAGCCAAGTCGCCATGGGAGAGCCGGAGGCGCGAGTCTGCCATGCTTTTTAGGGCACCCTTCAAAAGGGGGAAAGAAAGAAGCTCCTCTACAAAGATACTGGGATTCAGCTGGGTGTCTACACATCAATCTGCAGGAGTGCCACTTCTGCTCTGCTCTTGCCAGGCACAACAGGGGCCCTTTGTGGCCTTCACCCTACATCTATCTACATTTGGGGCAAGTGCCTGAGTAGAACAGCCTTATAATTACATTTTACGTTGGTTAGCCACCCTCCCTAGTTCAGGCACAATGTGGCTGGGATGCCGGAAACACCCAAAGGCATGTTCTTAGTATAAAGCTGCTTGACCTGCGTGCATGTGCTGTTTTTAGGCTCCACATGCCCAACTCCCCCTCTTTCCCCGCGCCAGCAAAAACAAAGCTCTAGACTTCCATCCCGTTTTCTCGGGAGCAATTCTAGTCGGGAGCGCGTGTGCAGGCAGTTCAGCCAAAGAATGGACAAGTTCAGGCTTGGCTTGAGCCGAGCGCGCATGCGATTCTGCTTCGCTTGAGCAGCATGGCCAGAAGAAGTGGGCTTGCTGCCAACCGGGGAACACCAGAATCTGTGGTGTCCATCTGGTTTTTCCTTGTAAAAGCCGCTGAAAGGTAGCATCAAAACAAGACCAGAGTAAGACTCGAGTGCATCTAGCAGTGCTTTCCAGATAATGTCGTGCAGTGTGGGGGACGCTTTGATCGCGGAAGCTGGGAGCAAGATTGGGTTGCAGGGAGGGGTTGTCAGACTCCAGGTGCAGTGCGGTGTTTGAAAGGTTACGGATTAGGATTCGGGGTGTGGCCCAGAAAGTATGGCCCCCCCTGTTGTTACTTGTTTCTTGTGTAGCGGTGAGGAAGTTGCACCGACGTTAGTTGAGAACTGTTGGCAGTGCAGAAGTCAGCTCGCTTGCTTGGGGGCTTGGGTTGGGCCACCTTTCCTTAAAAAACTACAGCAAGGAAGATTGAACACCTGTGCAATCTGCTTTTCTTTTTTTGGAAGCAGGCCAGGAGGGTCTAGCCACATGTCGCCCAAACCCTTGCTCTAAGGCAAGAAGGGCAGAGACACGAAGGAGATCGCGGAGGTACTGGGGATCGAAGCGTCGGAGGTCGTGGTGCTGCTGGCGCAAAGTGAGGCTGGTTGCCGCTAAGCGATGATGTGGAGTCTGAAGCAGGTGCTAAGCGCCCTGGAGTCTACATGGCGTGGCTCTTTTTTTGAGAATCCCCATCCCCTTCCTGGGGACAAAAGAATGACCCCTGGAATTGATGGTTCCATTTCCCCCCGTCCTTATCATAGATGAGGAGTTTGGAGTCTCCTTTGTCCCATGCTCCCTACAGATCTTGAACAGAACTAGAGGGTGTCCTAAAAAGAGATCCTACCCAGACATCCTGCAAAGATCCTCCACAGATATCTTGCGCTGGCCCCGCATTTTTGAGATCCACTCAAGACATCTTGCACAGGACCTGCCAAGGTTTCATGTCGAGACATCTTGTAGAGGACGCTCTTTACAGATCCTGAACAGAAAGAGAGGGAGACAGAGAGAGAGAGAAAGAGAAAGAGAGAGAGAGAGAGAGATGTCAAACTACATGCTTCACTTCCTGCATTTGTGTTGCATGTATGTTCACTACTGCAGGCCTTGAGCTCACTACTTCGCATGAGTGAAAAGGTTGGCAGCTGCAGACTACATCGGTTGACTGTTTGTTTGAACACTACAGCACTTGCACTGGTAAGCAAAGTAACAACCGATTTTAACGTGGTAGCGGAGCTGAGATCCTAAACATAGGGGAGCTCCAGTAAGCAGTAAGTACTACAGCCACAGCAACAGCAGTCACATGCCAAACTACTACGACATGTCAGGAGAAGCAGCATCAGCCTCAGCACAACAAACTACAGGAGCAGAGAACGGGCCAACAGCAAACACAGTAGGAGCCACAACTACGGGAGCAGGAACAGAACAACACAACGACGCATAGATACAAACTGCCACCACCCTGCTTCACTGGTGACTACTCCCAGCATGAAGAATGGCTGTTCAAGCTACAAGCATACCTCGGCCTCATAGACCGAGACTTCGACCTGGTGCTACAACTAGCACAAGTGGCTACACGACAGATTGAGGACACAGACATCAGAACACACATACTCGACCCTACCCAAGCAAGCAAAGCAGTAGACCTCTCCAGAGATCTACACTACATCCTCATCAACATCTGTCAGGGAGCAGCAGCTACAGTAGTAAGGCAAAACCGCTACAACGCAAACGAATGTGAAACACTACGACTACTACACAACAGGTTCAGCCTACCAGTAGGAACAAGAAGCGTTGGCTACCTTACCAAACTACTGGAACCTACATTCAACGAAGCGCAGTTTGAAGAACAGTTTCTACAATGGGAATACGACATCAACCGCTACGAGAAAGACAATGGAACAGCACTACCAGATGGAATCAAAATAGCAACACTACTCAACAAAACCAAAGGAGCACTGCAGCAACACCTCCAACTGCGAGCTGGACAGATCACAAACTACATCGAGATCAGAGCACTCATCTTGGACTACTACGAGACGATTTCAGCCTTCACTAGATCTACTTCAGCAGTAGGAACAAACTACAATGGAGGAGCTGCACCAATGGATGTTGACAACATATGGAGGAAAGGAAGAAACTACAAAGGCAAAGGAAAAGGAAAAGGCAACTACAAAGGAAGCAAGAGCAAAGGCAAGTACAGGAGTAAAGGACACTACAAAGGATTCGACAAAGGCAGCAAAGGAAACTACAACAAAGGAGGATACAACAAGAGCAAAGGAAAAGGCTACTCAGGATCCAAAGGATATGGATCAAGCAAAGGCTACAAAGGCCAAGGAAACTACAGCAAATCCAAAGGAAAAGGAAACAACAACTACACAACATGCCATCGATATGGCAAGCCTGGCCACTGGGCACAAGACTGCAGAGTGCCAGTATGGCACATAGGAGAAGGAGAAGAACTACATCCACTGGAAGAAGAACAAGCAGATCATGACAACAATGAAGAACTACCTCAGGATGTGAACGACACTTGGGACTGGTACTATGAAGGGGAAGAAGGACAACACGAGGTGAACTACATGGAGGAGAACTGGAACGACTACGACTATGACAACAGCTGGGATTGGAACGACAACAGCCATGAGGACACAGCAAACTACATTGGAGGCATCAACGAGTCACACCTCACCATTGGACACATCAGACAATCAAAGCCACGACTACACAAGCACAAATCCAAATCATTACTTGGCAAGAGAACAACACACACAACATCATGGAACGACCACAGCAAGAGCTTTCAACAATTCCTACAAGAAGACACCACACAGCCACACTTCGACATAGCAGCAGCAAGACAACAACAAAGGAACAAGAAGATTGAGGACACTATCACACACTACATCATGTACTCCAACTTCAAGTCATACCACCGCCTGTTGATCGACTCAGGAGCATCTACACATGTTTGCCCGAAGGACTACGCACCAGACCTACCGCTACGACCTTGTGGGGAATCAGTTCCACAACTCTACACGGTTACAAACAAGAAGATTCCTGTCTACGGCATCAAGTACATTCCCTACAAGCAGGACAACTTCAGGATCATGATACCCTACTACGTTTGTGATGTGAAGTATCCAATCCTCAGTGCATCAAGACTACTTGATAGAGGATATGGACTTGACTTCACTCCACGACACTGCATTATCACACATGGACAACAACAAGCACACCTCATAAGACACTCAGGACTTTTCTACCTACGAGCAGAGAAGATCGACATCCCTACAGGATTCGACATCTACCCAATGACTACAGACAATGGAAAATCCATTGCTGTGATTCAACCTACAGAGAAAACAGTACAACAACAAGAACAAATTGCACCACTCACCCACACAGACCAAGGACTACGACAGATCCTTGGTGGAAACACTGACTACTGGAAACTTGATGGTGGCTACGCCATCAGAGTACACAAACGACCACGCAAAGCATTGTTCACACCACACAACAGCGGTTGCCCAATACCTGAAGGAGAACTAGATGATTGGCGACTAACCATCATCAACAGACAAGGGCAAGAGCAAGAACAACTACAAGAGAACCCAACACAACTTTCCAAGCAAGAACTACAACGAAGACTAGAAGGTGACAACTGGACTGGAGAAACCAGATTCAGAAGAAAGATAACACCTACACGCAGAGCAACATCAAAGACCACACCAACAAGGCAGAGCTCACAACCACAACGGCTAATGGACACACCACCAACCAGATCAAAGATCCAACTACGAGCACCACAAAAGATATGGAGACCTAAAGCAGCACCTTCTACAAATCTTGACACCACACAACCAAAGGAGACAATCCACAGACCACTCACAGCACAGGAGGACAACCAAGACTACTGGGAAAGACAAGGTGAATACTGGATAAGACACCACACAACACTTAGAACAACTCTATTCACTCCAACAGATGGACCAGGACATCCACCAATCAGCACACTTGAACCTCACAGAACTACAATCACTCACAACAACTTTGGAGAAGTTTCACAACGCAAAGATGACTGGACAGTCATGGGCAACGCAGCACTACCATTTCAATGGAAAGGAACAACAAGGTTCACCGTGAAGAAAGACTACGAGTACATCCAGGAGAACCACGATGAGGAACAACAACACGAGCATCATGAAGCACACAGAGC